TACTGGAGACAAAAACAAAAGCTGCAAAGCTTTAGGGAAGTGGGAAAGCATCTCTTCCAGGGAGTATTTAAGTTCATGCAAAATGAAAATTAAAAAGCTGTGTACATGTGCTTTTTTTTTTAAAGAGAGTTCCACAATTTATATCAAGTACTCAGAAAAGTGCCCAATCCAAACGAAGAACCAGTGATGTAACATTTCTCTCTCACTTTACCTGGGAGGCCAATGAAATGCAAAGTAATCAAGTGAACTGACAAGATCAGGACTGTACCACTGCACCTTATATGACAAATGTGTATAGTGAATGCCTGGACATGACCAAACTTATCATCAAAGGAATCGGAGATGCACAAGACTATTCACCTCCCACTATGGGACAAAGAACCTCCTTAAAAAGCAAGTTTAGGAGTGAGTGTTTAGCACAGCTGCTAAGACCCACTTGGGATACCCACATCCCATACTGGAGTACTTGGGTTCAAGTCCCAGCTCTGCTTCCTAATTCCAGATTCCTGCAAATGTGTACCCTGGGAGGGATCAAGTGATGGCTCCAGTAAGTGAGTCCCTGCCGTCCACGTGGATGATCAGGATTGAGTCTGAAATTCCTGGCTTTGCCCTGGCCCTATCCCAGCTGTTATAGGTTCTGGAAATGAACCAGTAGATGGGAGATTTCAATCATTCATTCTCTCTCTCTCTCTCTGCCTTTCAAATAAATTTTAAAAATGTTTAGATTTTCTAAAAAGCGTGTTTATAATATCAGTCACCCGGTGGCAGAGAGGGTTACACTCAAGGGAAAGTTCTAGGGAATAAGTATCTTTTTATTTAAGTTTTTTAAGTGAATTGTGTTTTTTCCGATTATGTGTTGATACTATTTGCTTAAAAACAAATTATAGGAACCAGTGTTGTGGCACAGTAGGTAAAACCACCATCTACAGTGCCGGCACACTGCACACACAAACAGACCTGGTTTGTGTCCAGGTTGCTCCACTTCCAATTCAGCTCCCTGCTAATGACCTGGGAAGAGCATTGGAGGATGGCCCAAATGTTTGGGTCCCTGCCATCCAAGTATCCAGACATGGGTCCAGACAAAGCTCTAGGCTCTGAGATTCAGCCTGGCCCAGCCCTGGCCGTTGTGGCCCTCTGGAGAGTGAACCAGTAGATGGATGATAGGTCTTTCTGTCTCTCCCTCTCTCTTTGTAACTCTGATTTTAAAATAAATTGAGGGGTCAGTGCTGTGGTCAGTGGGTTATATGTTCTGGCCTGAAGTGTCGGCATCCCATATAGGCGCCGGTTTGAGGCCCGGCTGCTCCACTTCTGATCCAGCTCTCTGCTATGGCCTGGGAAAGCAGTAGAGGATGGCCCAGGTCCTTGGGCCCCTGCACCTGTGTGGGAGACCCAGAGGAAGCTCCTGGCTCCTGGCTTCAGATCAGTGCAACTCCAGCAGTTGGGGCCAACTGGGGAGTGAACCAGCGCACAGAGGACCTCTCTCTCTCTGCCTCTCCTCTCTCTATGTAACTCTTATTTTCAAATAAATCTTTAAAATAAAATAAAATATAATAAATTGATCTTTTAAAAAGATCAAAGTATACCTGTATGTTTATTTTTTAAAGAGGGTTAATTTTTTATAATTTTTCTTATTATTTCAAAAACAGAATGAGATAGTGATCTTCCATTCACTGGTTCAATCCCCAAATGACTGTACCTCCTGGGGCTGGACTAGGCACATGCCATGAACCAGGAACTCAATGTGGGTCTTATGTGTGTGGCAGGGACCCAACTACTTGAGTCATCACCTTCTACCTCCCAGGGTCTGCATTAACAGGAAGTTGGAATCAGGAGTGGAGCTGGGACTCAAACTCAGACATTCCAGTGAGGAATGTTGTGTTCTAAGCAGTGTCTTAAGTACTACACTTAAACACACAGCCATATACCTTTAACTATTGCTCTAACAGCAATGATAAATTTGATACTCCCAATTTTAAAAAAATACATGAAAAGTATAGATTATATGACCAGTAACTTGCCAACTAGAAAAGAAGTCTCTGGTATAGATATTGTTTAAGGGCAATTTTTAAATAGATACTCAGCAACAATCCTGATAAACAGGTAGGTGCTTTTAAGCACATTTTACAAAACAAAATAGATCAATTAACTTTTCAGAATCACAAAACTGTGACCAAATAACATCAGGGCTGAGCCCAACCGTTCTGCATGTCCAGAGTTCTTCCCACTTGACCACTTTGCCTCCATTTACAAATACTACATGTCAACCACTGAAGTGCCACACAGAAACAGCTTTCAAAATCATATTGACAAACTACTACTAATACCAAAATGATGTTTTCAAAAATTTACATAGATTACTGCACAGAAAGAAAAATAGTTTACATGATTTGGAGAACTCGATAATAAATCATCAATAACAGGAAAGCACTGTTCCAGGCACACGACCCCTGTCCATGGATTGATATTAAATTTATTTATTTATTTTTTTGACAGGCAGAGTGGACGGTGAGAGAGAGACAGACAGAGAGAAAGGTCTTCCTTTTGCCATTGGTTCACCCTCCAATGGCCGCCGCAGCTGTTGGCGCACCGCGCTGATCCGAAGCCAGGAGCCAGGTACTTATCCTGGTCTCCCATGGGGTGCAGGGCCCAAGCACTTGGGCCATCCTCCACTGCACTCCTGGGCCACAGCAGAGAGCTGGCCTGGAAGAGGGGCAACCGGGACAGAATCTGGCGCCCCAACCGGGACTAGAACCCGGTGTGCCAGTGCCGCTAGGCGGAGGATTAGCCTGTTAAGCCGCGGTGCCGGCCCTGATATTAGTCCTTTTAGATAAATGAAAGAGGGCTGTGATTGTGGACTTTGAGAATGGAAATCAAAGTTTATGCTGACCACTGAAACCGCTCACACACATCCAAAAAATCTCCTAGTAGCCCTGGGAGCAGGCTGGAACCCTAGTTAACAGGTTGTTAACAACTACAACACCCCCTTGACCCAAGCATCAGGATCATTCCCCCTCCAGTGATAAGGAGTCACAGAAGGACGGCTGCTGCTTCAGATTCCTGGCTTTCCAGGTGCTTAGGACAGGCAGACGACTAAATAATAAAGTTAAATTACTACCTCACATCTTTTTCAAGATATGCTCTCTCTCAAAATGACATTCTCAAAAACAAAATAAGCATTAGAAAAACACACTTAAATCAGGGAAACAGCTTACCCCTTCACACATACACACACAAACACACACATATATGAATCATATGCTAGGGACATTATAAACTTGCAGGAAGGAAAAAAAAATGTTTGCCTGGAAGCCATGTCAACTCTTTTCTCTTGACTTTTAAACCCACACACAGAAACCACTAAGCAAGTAGCATTTGAGAACCCATTATGGCTTTTCAATGTCAAACCTTAGTCCTGAAAAAAAGCTAGGCTAAGATTTGGGGAGAATTTTCTGTTGACAGTAAAAGCAAGCTGTCCTTAAATTCCTGAACTGCATTTTATCCTTTCCTCTTTAATCTCTTTCCCAAAGGTACACAATTCACAGCGTGGTCACTTTATAACCAGACACGAACTGAGAACTAGGACAAAACACACTGCGCCAAAAGGCAATACTGAGCACAAAGTCTAGAGAAAAAAATTAAATGAAGGGGGGAGGGGGACGGGAATAGCGCAGGGCAAATTTTATTCCATGCAGCCCCAATAGGTAGGGGCATCCTCTTCCACTTGCACTCCGTGGTCTGCTATCACAGCCAAAAGTTGGACAGCACCAGCTAGCCACAGCGCGGCTGCTTCATTTCTCCTGCACCAGGGCTGGAGCGCGCCTTCCCCTGCATCACCCCTGCTCCACTGCAATACTGACGCCGGCCAGTTTCGGTGCACCCGCGGTCAAGCCTCCCCGTTCCTTCTTAATGCATTTCCTCACCAATTCTACAAAACAGCCAGTGCCTCACAGCATGATTTCCTAGGCCATCTGGCTAGTACCACTCTTTAACAACTTTTTCCAACATTCACCGGGCACGCGTCGTTATCACTTTAGGACCCTTAGACCCCCGCCCCCCGTCACTCCCACGACTTTCCTCCTCCACATCGCCAGTCCCCACCGAGTGACCCTCAAACTCCGGTCACCATCACCAACCGACTTCCAGGCCCTGGCAAGAGGCCCCACTGGCTTTAATCACACACCTACCCCCGAGGTATCCAAACCAACTTGCCAACGGCCTCAGCCCCGTGTCATCTCTCCGGATGGACCTTACGCTTACTAAGTCCCTACCTTGTGTAGCCACAGCCCGCTCTCTAGCCCGAGCTCCGTCTCGCCGGCCACAGGCCACGCGAGTCCTGACAGCGTTATGCTTGACAGCTCGCCGACCTCCCCTCATCAGACCTCCAGGGTCGTCCTTCCCGGCGTCCTCCAGGCTTTTCCCCACTCATTCACTCCCGCGCCGTCCCGGGAGCCTCGGCCTCTCCTAATACCCCTCCCAGACTCCACTGTCCCATTCAGGAACTAGCCGACCTCTCGCCAGGTGAGCGGAGCCCCTCGCCCTGCAGGCCCCATCTATGGTCCTAGCCACCCGCACCTGCCGCCAGTGTTCCCAGGCTGCAAAACCACAAGTAGTTCCTCTTCCGAGGGACCACCCTCTTCCTCGGGCCGCTTCCTCTCTGCACCTCTTCACTCGCGCTCCGCCAAGAGACCCCAACTCACCCCCGCCTCCGCCATCTTCTGGGACCGGCCCCCACCCCCCGCCTCCGCCTCTTCCTCCTCGCCTACAACTCCGCCCAAGCCCCACTGCGCCTGTGCGGCTGATACGCCGCGCGCCGGTGCTCGGGGCAAAAGAGCTTCCGGTTACCGCGGGCACTACCTGGCAGGTTAGCGAATCGGGGCAACGAGGTTTCCGGTCTGCGGGAAATTGGCGTCTGGCGGTGGGCGTGGACTGCCTATGTGATGGGAGGCATCCGGATCAGCTGTTGTTGACTGACCAGGCCTTCGTTGTGACGGTTGCCCAGACCCTGTGGGCGGAGTAAGGGGGATCGTGCACAGACACACGCACACCCCCCCGGAGGGGCGTGGCGCTCGGCGTGTTCCTTGTCTCCGAGCGCGGTCGCCGCCGAGGCTGGTGCGCAGGGGCCAAGTTCTTCTTGCTAAGAACGCTGTTATCTGTGCTTGTGCCCAGCTCTCCTCTGGGCCCCTTTGCCTTCCTTACCAAGTGCTAACTTATTTGGGAGAAACGTATGGTTTGCCCTCCATCCCGCAGCATCCTGTGCACTTTTCGCTCCTGATCGTTCGCCAAGGACGGCCAGGTAATGCGGTTTGGAGACCATAGTTCTCTGAAGGACGGTACTTAGAGGTTTACACCCAGGTCGAGAAAACCTTGTAACCTCTTGTCAGAAGCATTCGTTTCCCTTGGCTTGAAATGGTGCTTTTAGAACGTTGGACCAACCCTGAGAGATCTTGGGAGATTGTTGTGAATCCAGTGAGCCTATGAGTGCATATGCAAGCCGTATGGGCGCCAAGAAGTAGTTGGAGTTGTAGTATTCGTTATAAGGAATTGTCTTCCTGCTATGAAATGTAACTATATAAATCAAAGACAAAGCTCAAGTCTCTCTTGAGTATATTACACTACTGGGCTATCCCACGAATCACCTTTTGGGACGTGGCTTCACCTAAAATACATTATGATTGTGGTCAGGTTACTATGGTCTTCAGGAAGGTTTTAGGTGAAATTCAAGCCTAGAATAATTGCGTAATAGATTTTTGCAAAGAAGTGCCAGTTGGCGAAACTCATTTCCTTTACTTTGAGCTGGTAAATGATAAACTGAATTTTTATGTTTCCACTCTTTTACAGGCATGTTTGTTTCTGGAAAATGAAATAGAAATTAAATTTACAACAGAAGTTACTTGGCAAGTATTTATGTGACCCTTATTTTCTCTAGCTCTTAAATTTCACTCTTGCAGGTTTTTAAACCCTATGTGTGTGTGTGTATTTGAGCTAACTATACTGAAAAAACTAATGAATTAGGGAAAAAAAAGCAGACAGGAAAGAAACAATACCTTTAAAATGTGTGACATCAAGACTGTGTAAAACAATGTGGATCCTGTATGTTCATGCCTATTCCAATCCTACTGTTTTCAAACACTAAGGAATTGTCTTCTAGAAAATATTTATGGTGAATTTTAGCCTAAAAAGGCATTTGTTTTATTTTAAAATACACATTAATTGCAAAGAGGAACAGGACTTAAAGCACAAGAACCCTGGGACACCCTTTCCTGAGGTTCTTGCACCTAATGCAGTCATCACTACCACAGTCCAAGGCAGAGTATAAAATCCTTAGGAGACATACAAAGGGCCATTGTCTTAGATGAGGTTGAGGACCATTTTCACAGAAGATATGGTCCTTCCTTGGACGTTGAGGGTAGATATATAGCTATGGTGAGGCTGTGCTTTATGGTGGGTGCTTATGGTTGGAAAAACAAAAATCGCACCATAGAGCCTGGTATGTGAAAGGGTGGGTGATGAGACATGAGATCTGAACATCAGTCTCATGAATTTAGACTAAATTATGTTGTCATGAAAACATTACAACCCTAAATTAATTGATGCCAGAACATAAATCGGGAACTTTGAGAAATCAGAGTAAGTTTGGGGTATTCTGCAGTTGGTATAATGTTGTTGGTGGAATGCTGTCGAAGGAAACCTGGATGGTATCTTGGCCCTGAGACAGCATTTCTATGGTCATGTCCAATACATTCAGCTTTTTAGGCTTACTTTTCCTCATCTGTAAGATGAGAAATTGGTCTGAATGATTTCTAAGGCCCTTTTCATAGATAGAAATATCGATGACTTGATAATTCTGTGACTTTACAGAAAAATTTCTAGCATTGCCTTACTTGTTTGACCTCCTAATTGAATACACCAAAAGGTAAAGTTCAAAAACAAAACCAAAACAGAAAACCAGCCTCTTTAGTTAGCAAATGCAAGATCCACAAAAGTTTATTTGCCTTGTTGGAGTGAGGTAATGTTCGACTATCATTAATTATTGCCTAAGACTTGATGATGACTAAGCCTTACAAGTAAGAACCTTGAACCTGGAAAACTGATCCAGCTTGAAAACATCCAAAGGTTTTCTTTTAAAAAGGTGTTATAATTTTTCTGTTAGGTAGTTAGAATCCAAATCACTAAAGAGCACCTTAGTGTTTTGGTCTTTTGTTTGTTGCAGTGTTTTGATATGGTATACAGGTTTTTTGTTTAAAGATTTATTTATTTATTTGAGAGGCAGAGTTACAGACAGAAAGAGGGAGAAACAGAGAAGTCTTCCATCCACTGTTTCATACCACAATGGCTGCAACAGCTGAAGCTAGGCTGATCCAAAGCCAGGAGTCCCAAGTGCAGGGGCCCAAGCACTTGGGCCATCTCCCACTGCTTTCTCGGGTCATTATCAGGGAGCTGGGTAAGAAATGGAGCAACCAGGATTCAAACCGGCACCCGTATGTATTGTGGGCGCCACAGGCAGAGGCTTAACCCACTACCCCACAGTGCCAGCTGTGGTATACATATTTCTGAGAGTCATGGAATTTTGCTGTTTTGAATTTACATAATGGATCATTTATTAATCCGTTCATCCCCTCAACAACTGTTACCTGAGCACCTGGTAGGTACCAGGTACTTGACACTGGACTTTGGGAAAAATGCAAAACAGACAAGGATGCTTTCTTTGTGAAGCTTACAGTCTTACTGGGGAAACACAAAAAGTGGTTGCATTAATATATAATTACAGATTGAGAGAAGTGCTGTGAAGAATCTTGCCTCAACCTAGATCTGTTCAATTCTAATATCTGTGCACTTAGCCACTCACTAGTGCCCTGTCAACATTCAACAGCATACAGTAAGCACCGATTATATGCTAGAAACTCTGTTAAGCATTAAGACTCAAAGATGAATGACATAGAGCTTTTGTCTTTGATAAATTTACAGCCTAGTAATACAGAAGTTTCAGTAAATGAAGCTAGGCCAGCCCTGGAGACAGAAACAAGCCCACAGAGAATTCTCTGTGATATCAGCTATGTTCTTCCTATTTTAAGCTAAGCTGGCCTGAAACGTAACTGATGGCAGGGAATCTAGGTAAGCAGTTATTGAGTTGTCAGCTGAGAGATGGTGCAAGCCTGAACTAAAGGCAATAGTATTGGGCAGAAAGAATCAGCAGGACGGTTGATGAGAGGGTGGAGAAAAGAAAGAAATGAAAGATGACATCCAAGTTTTAAGTTTGAGAGACTGAGTGGAAGGTAACACCATAGATGTAGAACAAGAGTACAAGATTTGAATTTGGGGTTGAGTGAGTTTGAAGTAGCCATTGAGTATTCTGGTAGAAATATCTTGTAGAGGAATGGAAATGCACATCTGGAATTCAAGTGAGTAAATAGGTCTAGAAAAAAAGATTTGTAATTACTGACTTAATAGTTGAAACCATGCCTTGAGTTATGTGTATGCTGTGTAAGAAGTTTTTTTTAAAAAAGATAATAGAGATAGAAGAAAAAAATCCCTGACATTGCCATAGTTAAATATGTTCATAAAGCCATTTTTTAAAATCTGGGGTGATATTAAACACAGTCAACTGATGATTATCTATGATGAGTTTTTAATATTTTCCAGACTTTTCCTGGCCACATAGAAAATATAACAGATGATACATAACCTTGGAATGCAAACCAATTTTAAATATTGGCTAAATATTTGAGAAGAATGCTATAAGAGGCATTCAGAAATGTAATGGAAATGCACTAGAACAATATTTCCTCACAAATAATTTTTATGTACTACAGTTTTGACTTCAGTTATTTTGATCATAATGTTAATTAACCTACAAAAGTTACAATGTTCTAAACATAAAACTAGATAGAAAATTTCTTAGAAGTAAGCTCTAGTCTATAAAACCAAAATATTTGCAAAATAAATATGAGCAGAAGTACAAAATAGTGAAGCTTAAAGAAGATATTTTCTTAAAATTGATGCACAAATACATATTGCAATAATTGCCACAGAATAGATTGTTTTGAGCTAAAAAAAAAGGCTTTTAATGTTCTGTGTCATATGATGGCTATATTCTGTCTTATATGAAACCTTTGAACAGTTTGCTTTACCATTATTTGGGTTGCATTTGTCATACATGATATTTTAAGTCTACCACTGTTTTTTTAAAAACTCAATCTGAGACAATTACACGCCAATGTTAAAAGAAACCTTGTGGCAATATTCTGTAGTATTATGTTTACCTACATGATCTATAATGTGCTCATATTAATATGTAAGGTGATATAACTAAAATCATATCATTTGGAAGTTATCCAGAGAAATTGTGTACTATTGGAAACATATTCAAGCCCCCTAAAGATTCACAAACAGCACTTTGAGAAATGCTATCCTAGATGATCCAGTGTTTTTGATTATTTATGCCTTGTAAAATACCTTAACATTAATCTCCAGTTCCCCAAGTGTGTTCCATAGAATTAATGTTAACATGTGTTGTGGTGGGGGTGGGGAGAAGAAATGAAGTCCTCTGCTCATTATTCATAGGCATTATACTAGTGAAAGTTAAACAGGTTATTTTCAATATGGGAATTCCAAGACTGTTTAATATGTCAGCAAGCATACACTTTGGCCCATGGAACATTTATCTTTTTCTCACTTTGGAGACTTTCATAGGGCCAGTAGTTGACTATGTTTATATATAAATATACCCAGAGGCAGCTGTATTTTACAGTGAAAGCTATTTATAAAATTATCTACCATCTATCAGTCATCATCTACATACAAAGTAAAAGAATCATCAGGCCCATGATGCTATTTTCAGTGCCCCGTATAGTACCCAGTTCATAAAATGAGCTCAGTAAATATTTGTTGAATTAGTGTTGTGTTGCATTTATCTATTTGTTCATTTTATGTCAACAGTGGTTAATCCTACCTTGATTTCATGAACTATATTACAGTAAATAGCTTCTGCAGGAAAGACTACAGTCACAGAGTACATGTAACCTTCCTGCATAACCTATATTATCCTGAAGTATCATCAAGAAATCTTAGAATTTGCACTATGCATTGGCACTAGCCATGTGTGGCTATCTAAGTTACTTAAAACAGTTCAAGAATTCAATTCCTAAGTTGCACTAGCCACATATCAAGTAGGCGCTAGTCACAGGTGGCTGATTTACAGATCACTGAACATTTCTGATGCTCAAAGTTCTACTGGAAATTTTGTGTTAGAAGATTTGTATCAATTTAACCTTCTCAAAATACTGTAAGAAAAAAAATCAAGAAGTAGAAGCAATATACAATAATCAACTACCACCACTTTGTCCACCTAAAGCTTCTTTAGCATAATGATGACAATTATTCAGTGCAAAGGAGCTTAGCAGTTTTGATTTTGCTTTAGAAAAAAGTTTGAATGATGGCATTCATCGAACTGGCAGCAGCCTCTTCTGCAGGGCCAGGTCAGCCCTGGGCAAGTGGCCTGTGTAAGGCCTATAGCATGTAATGTGGGCAAAGTTATTATAGCAGAACCTACCACTGAAAACAAGTGAGTCTTTGTTGAAGAATATTTCAGAACCATTTTAAGAATTAAGGAAAAAAATAGAATTCACCTTGATCTAAATATCATGCTTTGAATCTTTTAGATATTGTAAGAGAATTTTTTCTACTGTGTTAGCTTAACAGATTCAGAAGCCAAGACAATTCTTTGTCCTGTTTGTAGATAAAGTTCTGACACATTTCTCTAATGTGCTCAGAGAACTCAATAGAACTTCCTCTTCAGTTATAACTCTGTATAAGGAATGCACTGAGGCCACCCTGTGTTCTGTAGTAGTCACAGAAGTGAGATGATTCCATAGCAAGGGCACTTAACTCCCTGGAATAGTCTGTAAACTCATTAGCTGTCTTCTGCAGTTACTGATGTTAGGATGATTTTAGGGGCCAGCGTTGTGGCATAGCAGGTTAAATCACCACCTGCAGTGCCAGCATCCCATATGGGCGCCAGTTTGAGTCCTGGCTGCTCCACTTCCGATCCGGCTCTCTGCTGTGGCCTGGGAAAGCAGTAGAAGATGGCCCAAATCATTGGTTGCTTTGGCAAGAGTTTGCCAGATGTGGCTGGATCAACTTATTTGCACCTCCATAATTTCCCTTAGTTGTCAATTTTTTTTCCAATTTGTTTGAATGTGGTATAGAGTTTGTCACTCACTAAAATCATTCCTTTTAAAAAAAAAGATTTATTTATTTATTTGAAAAGCAGAGTTAGAGAGAGAGAGAGAGAGAGAGAGAGAGGTCTTCCATCCTTTGGTTCACTCTCCAAATGGCTGCAATGGCCAGAGCTGGGCCAATCTGAAGCCAGGAGCCAGGAACTTCTTCTGGGTCTCCCACATGGGTTGGAGGACCTAGGTCATCTTCTACTACTTTCCCAGGCCATTAGGAAGGAGTTTTTGGATTGAAAGTAGAGCACCTGGCAATCAAATTGACGCCCATTAGGGATGCAAACACTGCATGTGACGGCTTAACCCACTATGTCACAGCACCAGCTCATCACCTGAATTCTGTGCTTGCATTGCCTCAATCTGGGATTTTTAGTAAGATCAATGCTAGATGCAGAAAAAAAAATACAGGAAAGCCAAGAATTAAGTTGATAGGTATGTGTTTGGGCTTCCAAACCCTGCAAGAAAGGACAGTGAGAAAAGCACTCACCTTTTAGCAATATTATCTTTTGGGGGTATTTTTGGATGGATCTGTTAAGAAGCAATAACAGCTAAAGTCAATAAATTGAACGTATTTAAATTCAAACAGTCCCTGTAAGACTGGATATGTGTCATCAGGCAACAAATAAGCTAAACAGAGCCCAAACGAGGTCACCATGGATGAGCAAGCAAATGCAAAACACAACTCTAAGACAAAGTCACTGGGGTATAAAACATCAGAGCGAGAAGACAACTAGGAAGATTATAGACTATAAACTATTTGTCACAGAAGCAATGATAGAGACCAAGAATATAGAAGCAACACTAGCTATTAATTATTACAAAGCCCCATACAATTTGAGGTCAAAAAACTTAACGAGGTGTTCACGAACACATTTCTCTCTTGCTGTTTCACTGCGCTGGTCTGTGCCTCCTTTAACCTGAACTCACACACACCGGGTTCATGTAACTTTCAGTGCTTCTTAAGGCAGTGTACATATCCTCATTCTCATCCCTAATTGAACTTAAGCTAGACTCATAGTTGTCTCACAATGTCTTTTTTTTTTTTTAAAGAAGCAGCAGATAATGGCCTCTGATTTGCCAATTATGCTTGTTTGTATATATGTACACATGTTGGTTCACAAAAGCAGAGGATTTTATTTTATAGCAGGTGAAAGACACAAGTGATCCATCATTTGAACTTCCCCAAAGAAATATGTATGAAGCTAGGTGATGTAATGGATATGCAACATACTATAGAAACTCTAAGACTGGAATTTAGATTTTTTTTTCTGAGATTCAGACGTGTCAAGAAACAAAAACTATCAATAGATTTTCTCATAAGAATAAAAAAATGAAATTTAAATTTAAATGTAATTCCCTTAGAATGTGAGAAAGTTTATCTTTTTTAAGATTTTATTTATTTATTTGAGAGGTAGGATTACAGAAAAAGAGGGAGAGACAAAGAGAAAGGTCTTCCATCCACTGGTTCACTCCCCAAATAGCTGCAACTGCTGGAGCTGGGCCAATATGAAGCCAGGAACAAGTAGCTTCCTTTGGGTCCCCCATGCAGGTGTAGGGGCCCAAGCACTTGGGCCATTTTCTATTGTTTTCACAGGCCATAGCAGAGAGCTGGATCAGAAGAGGAGCAACTAGGAGCCGCAGGTGGAAGTTTAGCCCACTAAGCCACAACGCTGGACCCAGTTTACTCTTTTAAAGGTTAGAAATTAGTGCTTTAGTAATGGTTAAAGAAAGTTAAAAGAATTTATACTTTCAGAAGCTAATCTTAGATTCATAAAGTTAATTTTAGTATTGAACTGTGATAGAATGATTGTCAGAAAAAATATTTCAGACTAACAAACCACTGGCTCTCATTTGGGATGCCGGCACTGCTGTACCACAGCACCGGCCCTGGAGAAAGCAAGTATACTGTTTAGAATGAAGAGGATCTGGTTTTGATTCACACACTCTATTATCAGCTGGGCATTCTAGTTTACTTGCTAGTTAACTTGCTTCTCTGATTCTCCATTTTTTTCATCATTCAAGTATTCCTGTTACAAGAAATAAGTGTGATAAAGTAGTGATAAAAGAACATAGCTTTGTGGGTATTGTTCTCAATCACTTTGATATCATTCTTGACAAGGACCTTTGTTTTCATGTTGACTAGCTCTAAGATTGGGGATTTCTTACCTCCTGAGAAAAATGTACAATGAATGAGAGTTTTGCTGAGTTCATTTGTATATGGCTTCTTTATGGCCCCTCCCATTCCCACCCCATTCTGTATGACAGCCTTTGAGTTGTTAAATCCTCGTCCTACTTCACACTCCCTGGCTGTAATACTGAATTTCTTTAGTCATTTTCCATATGACAGTTTCTCCATCCCTTTATGATGATAGTTTCTGTTCTGCACATGCTTCAGTCTGTCAATATTCCCTCCACAGAGTCACTTCCAGAACAAACACTAGAGCTCCATCATCACATCCTGTGTTCTGGGTGCTTCTTTTAACACAACGCCCCATCACAGTAGCATTTTTGGCAGTCACATCCCACTATTAAGTTGTATTGAGCTGTTAAATTTAGACAATCCTTAAATCCCTTCCATGTGTACAAACCACATTTTCTCTACTCTGTTCTTTTATCGTTAAGGTGGAATTTTTGGGTGTTTGGATATTTTTTTTTCCATTGGAGGTGAGGGTTAGGTGCCTAAATAAACTGGTTTATCATTTTCCTAGTAAATGTTTTCTTGTCCATAATTACTACTTACCAAGAAGGTTTTGGTACCAATTCTATCATTAAGTACACTTTGTTAGCCTGAAACCTGCATCTGCATGCCATCTTGCCATCAGAAACTTATGCAAGTCCTTAATAAATATTTTGGATAATACAGCACCAAGTTCAGAGACCTGTGGTGGACTCTAGAGGCCTGCCTTTTGGTTGACATAAATCCAGTCATCAGAAAAGACTCTTGGCTTAAGGCTATGCTAACCCTGGGCCCAGCTTCTATTCAGAGTGTTGTCATTAGAAATCAGCAAATACGTGTAGAAATCCAAGCTAACCACTTCATGTTCATTATCAACTCATGCTGACTCCCAAGAGCTTAAAATGAGTCTTTTTAATGATTTGTTTTAGAAGATATTCCAGATACGAAAACTATCTATCTAAAGTTCACAAGATTCACCTCTGTTTGAAAGACTTTGGCCCATTTCAAGACTTTCCTAATTCTCAAGATTAAATTATTTTCCCCAACATGAGTTCTTCTATTTTATTCCAAAGATTTTTTCTCATGGCTAAGAAATGTATCTCATCTATGTTAAGGCATTTATAGACATTTTGAAAACTCAGTGCTGTCTTATAGGCTCATAGCCTACCTTATTTTTAAAAAACCAATATAGTGCTGCCCTTCCGTATCTGGCAGTCTTTAGCTAGAGGGAGCATAGCAATTAAAGTAGTTAAGATTTCTACCCTCCTCCTCTTATCTTTTCACATTGTGAGTGTCTGGGACCACCAGGCTCCTTAAAACCTCAGCAAAATTTCTGTACCACCCTTGACAATGTGCCTTGCATGACTCAGCATATAACTCCTGAAGCAATTACATCATATTATTCATAGAGTGCAGATATGAATGCTTGCTCTTTGCAGTCCAGGCTGACCTGTTTCTAGTCCGACTTCATGACTTACTTTTATCTTTCACCCCAACTTCATTCCTTAGACCTAATACTTCTCAATGGGCCATCAAAGAAGGAGGTAACTTTCTCAGAAGGGAGGAGAGAACTTCCACTTTGACTATGACCTTGTCTAAATAATATCAGAGTCAGCGAACTCAAAAGGCTTCCATAGTCTTGGCAACTCATGACAAGAACCTAGGGTGATTACTGACGCCATAAACAGGAGTGTCAATTTGTTAAGTCAACAACAGGAGTCACTGTGCACTTACTCCCCATGTAGGATTTCTGTCCTTAATGTGTTGTACAATGTGAATTAATGCTCTAACTAGTACTCAAACAGTATTTTACACTTTGTGTTTTGGTGTGGGTGTAAACTGTTGAAATCTTTGTTTAATATATACTAAATTGATCTTCTGTATATATATAAAGAGAATTGAAAATGAATCTTGATGTGAATGGAATGGGAGAGGGAGCGGGAGATGGGAGGGTTGTGGGTAGGAGGGAAGTTATGGAGGGGAAAAAGCCATTGTAATCCATAAACTGTACTTTGGAAATTTGTATTTATTAAATAAAAGTTTAAAAAAAGACCTAATACTTCTCACAGTTTGACTTTATTCCTTGGTCTCCCACTAGCAAATACCCCAACTCAGCAAATGGGTCTTTCCCCTTGGGTGCATACTTCTAGGTCTGACATTCTTATCAAGTGGCAGCTGTGTTCCTTCTTTAGTCATGCAATATGGCCATTGCCATACTCTGTGCACCAATCACTCAAGTTGGCCCAGGTTTAAAGAGAGACATAGACTCCATCTCTCAATGAAAGGAAAGCCACAGTCCTGCCGTACTTTCTGTGCTGATGAAGTAAAAAACTGAAAACCACCGTAGTACAGACTTAAAGGACCACCATCAAATATCCATTGTTAAGTACTTTTTTTTTTTAAGTTTATTTACTTGTATTTGTTTGAAAGTCAGAAAGAGAGAGAGAGTGAAAGAGAAAGAAAGGAAGAGGAGGGAATGAATATCTTCCATGCACTGGTACAATCCCAATGCCTACACAGCCAGAAGCCTGGAACTCCGCTTGGGTCTCCTACATGGGTCTCAGGGGCCCAAGTACTTGAACCATCACCTGCTGCCTACCAGAGTATGCATTAGTAGGTAGCTGGATCAGAAGTGGAGGACCCGAGACTTGAACCAGGCACTCACACAGGATGCAGTTCCCAAGTGGCAGCATAGCGTGTTGCTTCACAACACCTGCCGCACTTTAGATGTTTTAGACACTACACCAGGCTTAGCAGGGCCCAGGCATCATGAAGTAAAGATCCTTGTTGCTTGTCACTCTTCTCCACCTAAGTGTGGATGTACTTTTCCTGATGTTTTTTCATTCAGTTCACTTCATTCTGGTTGTTAGCATCTAATTTTCTTACAGGTTCATATTGCTATTTTAATCTTTAAATAGGATTGCTTTCTCTTTTCTGTATGAGTCTATCGGAGGACATCCTTTGGACTCTGTCAGTTTATCAGGAGCTCCCCCATTGCTTCCACCCACTGGGATGCCAACATCCAAATGCTCACAAAAGTTTTTCCTTTGCTTAGCATTCCTACCAATGGAATGCTACCAATTCTTTTCTTCTTCTGTGTGCATAACCACTTTAACACACACACACACATGCACGTGTTTACTACATACCTCCATCTTGTTAATGCTTATCATCCCTTTTAGACTAAGGCAGGTATAATGGAGTAGTCAGAGAAACCTGCATTTTAATTCCTGCCTTCCCCACTATCTGTATAATCTTGAACACACCATTTTACCTCCTTGTTTCCTTTCTTTATTATTCGAAAATTGGAGAGACAGTTAGAGAGATACAGAGAGAGAGGAGAGATTTTTTCAGCTACTGGTTTACTCCTTAAATACCTGCAGCGGTCAAAACTGAGCCAGGCTGAAGCCAGTAGTCTGGAACTCAATCCAGGTCTCCCATGTGAGTAGCAGGGACCCAAGTACTTGGACCATCACCTACTATCTCTCAGGGTGCACATTAGAAGGAAGCTGGAATTGGAAGCTGAGCTAGGACTAGAATCTAGGCACTCAATATGGGATATGGGCATTCCAGGCAGCATCTTAACTGCTGCACCAAAGACCCACCACACCCTAATTTATCTTTTTGAACCTAGGTGAATTTTATGGGATAAATGGGAATGCCATGGGATTAAATGGCAGTGAGAATAATGAAAGAATATATGTAAATAATGTAGTAGATAGTAGACAGCCGTTAAGTGGTTGTTCTTTTCATGGAAACCTGCCAAGTCTCCTCCATTCTGTGCTTCAGTTCTGCATGTTGCACACTAGACAACATGACAGGTGACTTTATAATGCCAGGTATTTTTTATGACTTATGGTCCATGTTTTTGCCTGGTTTTTTTCCCAGCATATTTATTTTATTTTTTAAAAGATTTATTTTATTTACTTGAAAGAGTTACAGAGAGGCAGAGTCAGAGGCAGAACGAGAGAGAGAGAGGTCTTCCATTCGATGGTTCACTCCCCAGAAGGCTGCAATGGCCGGAACTGCATCAATCCGAAGCCAGGAGCTAGGAGCTTCTTCAGGGTCTCCTATGCAGGTGCAGGGGTCCAAGGACCTAGGCCATCTTCTACTGCTTTTCCAGGTGATAGCAGAGAGCTGGATTGGAAATGGAGCAGCTGGGACTTGAACTGATGCCCATATGGGATGCCGGCACTGCAGGCAGTGGCTTTACCCACTACGCCACAACGCCATCCCACCCCATCCCCCAGCATATTTAATAACATCCACTAGGATCTCTTTCTCCTTTGTAAACTTTGTAGCTCCTAGTTCAAGTTTGAGCTAGAATGTCCTAGATTACGTACACTGCTCCCACTTTGAACAATTGAATGTCAGAGCTAAGACCCACTGTTGCCCTGCATTTCTCTGTGCAAACAACTCTAAGACACCTTCCTACCAGCAAGATAATGGAGAGGAATGTTGCTTGTCCAGAATGATTGCAGTGCTTGCAGGTGTATAATTAGTCACTAGTCAGTGTGTA